GAAGCCGGCTGGTACAGCAGTTGTACAAGGAGAATGACTTTCTCAGACGCCGGCATCGGTACAACTGTCGTACCATCCATGCCCTCCCCATTTTAGAGAATCGCCTATCTGTAGATCTTTGGGTGGTCCATTGTCGCTGCTCAGAGTAGCCGCTGGCTACGCATTATTTCCCTCTTCTTATCAGTTTAGCTACATTTTGGCAAAAACCGCAGGTTTCGTCTCGCGCCAATATACTTGAAAATTAAATAGAGGCCATCTCTTTCTCAATCTGTCTCATAATTTTAATGCTATTTTTTTTTAGTACTGACTTTTGCTATGATTAAAACGTCAGCGATTTTGCACGCTCTTGAAGCTTACCATATTTAATGTTCTTTAATCATAACAAATAAGAATAGATTAATATTTTAGATTTAATGCCCTTCTAGAAAATAGGTAAAACCGTTTTTATCGTTTACTCGTTTACTTCATTTTCATACTTATGAATAATAAGATTTTATTTTGACATTGTTTTGTGGAGTGCATAAAACCCTTAAGAACTGTCAACTCTTTCAAAGTGCTTCTATTATGCAGGCAATTTTGTCTGATTTATCAGGAGATAAATAAGAGACAATTGTATGCATAATAGTTTTTCTGATTTTCATTCATTCAGTGATTGCTTTCAATGATTTTCATTGATTGTAAATTAAATAAAATCAATTTATCTTTACACCCTCTTTTAGGATGAGATCTGCCAAAAAATATTTAAATATCAGTAAAGCTCACGTTACTTCTAAACTGAATCAAAACATCAGTTAAATGTTATAAAATTTTGGCCAGTTTTATTTGCTGAAATTCTTATACTCTTCAAGAGATAGAGAGAATTCAGACAAGTTGATAAAAAAATATCTTTAAAAAAGTTGTTATTTTGTCTGTAATAAGGTGTATGTCAACTTACTACTAAATGTATGAAAATTAGGATTGGATTACGGAAAAGCACGCGAACGCTATCTGCTTAAGGGAATGGATGCTTTCGTGTAAACCTTTTTAAGAGAAAATTGCTCGCATTTACATTCCTGGTGGAAAACTCCACATGTAATCAACCCGTTCTTCGGTATTGATTGGATTAATTTGTTCGCTTACTGAATTACATCAAAGCACCCAACGATTACCTGTATAAGGGGAGTTATGTCTTCGCGGAGGACTTTCTAAGAGAAGCTGGCTTTTTTTATATATATTTATATTCAAATTTAAGTTTACCTTTACTGAAGAGCATATTGATAAAGGAAAAGTATTGAATTAACCTAATTTACTAACCTATATTTCTCAATCGACAGTACATAAATTACGCATATGAGGGGGATTATTTGTGAATAAATAAACTGTATTGCACTTTTATCCACTATGTCATATTACAATGGAATTATTGCATTTCAAAGTTATTTCTCATGAATTAATTTTGCTCTTCATGATTTTTGATATTTTCAAAGAGAAAATTCCACACTTTAAATAAAAATATACACGAGAAGATACTTTATGCAAAATTTGGCGTAAACGGTTTTCTTAATTTTGCTTTGAAAATATTGCAGGGTAATCGTTTTCATTACTGGAAGAAATATAAAAAACAAATTTACTACATGGTATCAACACCCAATATTTCCTTATTCTTTTGAAAACGTGAAAGATTACTCTTTCTAAAATAAATTGGAAAATATATTATGTGCAAATAGAATATTCGTTGAAAATGAAATAGACTTCAACTTTTGGATATAACGATAGTTTTAGACGAAATTTCTACCTATGGAAAGAAATTGACGTATAATTAATTCTTCATGAACATTTAAAACTGTTCTCAAAATTCTTTTGATGATTGCATGTATAAGTCACGAATTTTTTTTCTCGGCTAACATAAACAAAAGCCAATTTTACAAAGAAAAATTTCTCGTTAAAGATATACCTTCTTTGCCTGATAGTCCAATGTAATATTTGTTAAAATTAATTATTAAACGCAACCAATGTATCTCGGATTTTGATTTTTATATTATAATAACAAAATTATCGAAAAAAGCAGATTTAAATCTCTGTTATTGTTATGTAAAGCTTTATTATTGCTGTAAGTTCATCTCAAAATCTATTTGTATTGAATCTCATTCTAATCATCTAATGGTAATAAATATTATTATTATTATTTCATTAAATTAGTCATTACCATTATTTTATTAATGAAAATATGTTATTAAAAATCGCATTCCGGCCTGCAGACTTACAGATCTAGTCTGTATTTACTATATTTTGTTAAATTTTGTTCTCGCTTGCTAATTTCTAATACGAAAATACGCGAATATAAATGAAGAGTGAAAACAAAGTTAAAAAATTCACAAATTATTTACGAGATTGATTAGAAATAGTGAATGAAATATAAACATTGCATACATTTTGTTCTAAATAAAGTGTGCACTGGATATGCATCCAGTACTGCACATTTATTTATGCACTATTTATTTAGAATTTTGCTTTCACTTAAATATGAAAGCAAAATAATCATCGAAAAAATTGCAAATCTAGCAACTCCTCTACTATGGGACGTAGGCGTCCGACAAACATGTAAATTTTACTTCATCCATGGAGGGGAACTGACGACTTTTCTCATTAGGAAAATGTCAAAGAGGGGGCAAAACTGTTTCGGATTGCGCTGGTCTGAAAGCTATAATATGAGAATTTCGGCCCGGTTTTAGAAGGTTAAGACTGTTTTTTGAGATTTTTTTAATATTTTGCAAAATTTTTGGAAAGTATTTAAAGTAAAGCTATAAATAATTTATAAACTTTTTTTTATTACAAATAAAGTTTATTACTTTTTATTCTTTTCCTGTAGTAAAGCACAGGCTCTAGAAAACTGCATGATATACTTGGTATAGAAACAGGTGGTCCTGGAGGACGAAGATTGGGTGAACCAGGACATTCTGTGTCTGACTACCTCAAATTCAAAGATCTCATAGCCAGAATGTTGGATTATGATCCGAAATCAAGGATTAGTCCATACCATGCCTTACAGCATAGTTTTTTCAAGCGTACGAATGATGAAAGTACTAATACGACAAACAGTGCCAGCACAAGTCCTGCAATGGAACAGGGATCGTTTTCGAATGCTGGTTGCTGTATGGCTGGCTCAGGATCAAGCTCTGGCAGTTCTTGTAATTTTTATTTTGAATTTAATAATTTTTAATATCAGTATTACATAAATTATTTTTTGAACTGTTGTGCTCATGTGTATAAATGTCCACCATTTTAAGAAACATTGGGTTAAATCTAAGTGTCAAAGAAGTCTTAGTTCTCAATAAGTAGGCTACTAAATATCAGTGAAATAAACAGTAATTTGGTCCTCTGTTTTCATGTATGTGTTTTAAACAGTATTATTCAGTTTCATGTCGGCCATGCTGTCATAAAATGAAAATTAAACTGATTGGTAATGCCTAGAAGCATACCAACATACATTTACATGCTACCCGTGAAATGTAAGAATTCTCGCATGTGTTTTTCTAAATTTTTTGCTAATTTTTCCGAGTCTTTCCTTTATCCTTGATTTAAGTGTTTGCCCCTATTTGCAAGTGGCTGAAATGTCACAAGAAAGCATTAAAATTTGTGCCAATTGAAAGAAATCCAATTTATGTAATAAATTTGGAAAATGCACATTGATTTATAATTGCAGAAGTTTTGAGATAGCTGTTTTTAAAAGCATAATTATTCTCATAAATATTGATTTATGTTAGTGTCCATCATTAAGATCTAAAAAGGTCATCAACTAAATCATCATTAAGATCTATATATAAAATGTGATTGTAAAGAATATTATGTCATGGCTGCCAGCTTTCCTGGTTTTCCCAGAAGATTCCTAGTTTTTCGTCACGTCTCCTGGTAGTTCACCGATAAAAAATGTTTCCTAGCACTAGTGAAATTTATTGAATTAATGAAACTTAAAATGTGCAGTTTCATTCTTCCATTTCATTACAAAAATTTGAACATGACACCAGTGCATGATCCATGAATGGCAAATGTAAAAGAAGCTTCAGAGTAACAGCTTATTAAAATAAGCAGCTTATTAGGTCTAATAAATTAAAAATGGTTTAAAATGAAGGAAATTTAAACTGTTAGCAAATGATATATGTGCACTTAATTCAGCATAGCAAGTATTATGCAAAACTCAGAAAAAATATTGGTAATCTGTTAACAACAATTAAACTATACATATTTGTCAAATGAGCTTGCATAGAAAGATTCTTTAGTGAATATATTTGTTTAAGATAATGGTAACTTCTATAATCTGGTGGAAAATTATTTAAAATTTAATGTTAGTAAATTTGATTTTAGCATTGGCATGGCATCCAAATATCCAAAAATAAGATAAAGGCACTAACATGCAAAGTGAAATCAAGCATATTCTTTCTGAAGTTGTTAAAGCATAACTTTTAGAAATAACTAAATAAAACATTAAATTAAAATATTGTTAAATTTAAAAAATCAAAATCCAGGGAAACCTCTCGTTCGATAATCAGCAATTGTTGAAACAATTTTAGGCTTTTAGTGTGTTTTTGATCTTAAGATTAACTACTTGTAAAACATTGCAAGTAGTAGTAATGTTTGTTGATGTTTTTTAGAAATGCTTATAATTTTGAAATCTGGTAGTTTAGGGGAGGAGTTAATCATGAGAGGTTTTATTACACTTCAGTTAATGATACTATCCTAGGCATAAATTGCATAGAATAACAAAACTGTTATAAGATTTGTCAAATTTGTTTATACTAATAAAGATATAAGTATTATTCTCCATTCATCCTCTTTTGAGGGGTAAGTGTTATGAGGGTTCTTATCACATATATGTAAACATAGTGAAACCAGTATTATCACCTACTGATGGGTGCAAATGTTTGTAGTCTTCTTCATTGCAGGTAAGTTACCTTAGGGAGATTGTTAGGCATTTCTTTGCTTGAGAGGAGTTCCCTACCTGTTGTTTATTTAAGCGTGTTTTGAAATAATCTCTCTCATCACAATTTCTTGGTTGTCGATTGCTTAATGAATATTTTTATTGATATATAGTTTATTCAAACTAATAACATTTAATTGGAATTGCCTAGGAAACGATTATTCATTTAACCTTTTTAATAGAATTTCTAAACAAGTAGTTAAGCTTTTAGAACTCTGCGAAGATTAAAAATGTAGAAATTCTTGAATATATCTTGAGATTTTAATCTGCACTACCACTTGTAGCAGATTATTTCCATTAATAACAAATCATTGAAATTGCTAAGCACGGATACTTCAAGTTGAAATGGCCAAACATTAGTATGACCAACAACAATATATCAGGCCACTCAGATGATCTTAAGTTATATTTTTGTTGTAAACATCCCTGCCTTATTCATGGTTTTGGTATGATGTGTGAAAATACATTTAAAATTTTATTTTGTGAAAAGTTTTTAAAAGGCCTTATATCCTTGTATTATGCTAGATTTCTAGATATTATTGTATGCATGACACTATAACTTTTTAACCAAAAAAACTCAATATTCATTTAATTTTATTCAAGAGAATTATGGCTAAAGACTTTCAGTATATACACACATATAATTTTTAAATATAATTTGTACAATTTTATGTATATAATTATAACTAACAATGATGGTTCCAATATATTTATTGCCTTTAGTGATATTTTATGTATTAAAAATTACACCAATAAGAACAAATATAGTTTTATGCTGATTCTGCATAGGTACTATGCAATCAGATATTTAATATGCATATTTTTTGTAAAGTAGTGAAGGTGTTATAATACATATTTAAATTAGTAGGTAATATCAATATTAATTACTAATTAAAATATATTGCAGTATGTGTACCAGTATGCAGTATATATCTAAGGAGATTGTATGAAATAAAATATTGCGTAAAATTTAAAAGTCTTTTCTGTCAACTGGCATTAAATTACTCTTATGTAAATTCATGTTAGTAGGATTCAGTACACAAAATGAAAGATGTATTAACGATATTATTCAGAGCTGAATGATGGACATTCTTAAATAATAAGCCTATATAAATTACATTAGTGTGTATACTTGACTTCAGTTCTTGGTTCTTTATTCGTTGTTTAGTTTTTAAAGCATTTGCAGATTGCTTTTATGAAGTTTTACAAAGAAATTGTTTTTATGAAGTTTGAAAAGGAAAACAGGAGTTCATTAACAGAGATTCCTTATGTTTTAAATAAGATGTAAAAATGTATTGCAGAAGAATAATTAAATTATGTAGTTCTAAAATATATTTTTATTATAGTTCCTTTAATAAAAATTATTAATTAACAAACAAGCTGTGAATACCTGCAGTAGAGCACTAATGCAAAGTTTTTAATAAATACAAGTTCCTAAGAGATGGAAAAGTCAGCCCACATTAAAGATATCCAACTGCATAGAAACATTTTACCGTTTAATGATTATAACAAATGGGCAAGCCCAAAAGCAGTTCATGTAAAACAAAATTCATATACTTCATTGTAACAAGAACTGTGATGACTCCAAATAATCATTTTGTATACCTTTTTCAAAGAATGCTCATTTTCACACCTTTTCAATTAATTCTTTTCCTTTTAAACTATTAAGAACAAGATCAATTATCAACTGTCTTTGATTACTCACATTTAAAAAATCATTTTAATGTTTTGACAAAATTCTGTCTATTCCTGTATAGGCATATAATATTACAATTTACAGTATCTTGTTCAGAACATACTAATCCTCCTCTATATAAATGTTCTCTAATTTGTTTTAAATGAGGACATTTTATCTAGGAGACTAAAATGGCTTCACAACTCAGTCTCTTTAACATTGAATAAATGCTACGTAAGTAATTACTCGAAGAATTGTTTTGCAATTTTCTTTTCATCTTCACTAATTTTTATGATAAAAAAGAATAATATCATCTAATGTTTGAGTTTCCCTTATCTCCCAGTTTAAATTTACTGTACTGTCTACCTGAAAGCTATCTGTATGAACTAAATTTCAGTAAGGGCAACTTTCAGGCTGAAACTCCAAGTTCAATGACATCACATGCTTTCATTTAGAGATTAAGAAGTGACTGATGCATTGTCATTGGTGACGGCATAAGCTTACAATAGTGGTGCTAATATGTGAACCAAAACTAGTAGCAGTTACACATTTCACCAAAAATTCTTTGGAGATGAATTCAAAAGCACTTTAATTCTGTATGCCACTCTTATTAAATTTTGTAAGGAATGATGTAGCTAAACATTAGAACAGTAAATTTGGGAGTAGCAGTACAGGAATTGTACAGCTTACAGCTATTTTCTGGCATCTGTGGTATGTTGGGCTGTATTAGAATACTGTATTACATTAAAACTGCTTTCTACTTTGTGCAACTGTAGACCATGAAACTCGATTTGCAATAGTAGGCTTGTGTCACCGTGTTGAAAGTGCCAAATAACGATCCTCATTTGTCATTATGGATTTTGGTTGACCTTGTCCAGGTCTAAAAATGGATTCAGTATCCTGAAAGTGTTTCCATGTATTGTAGATGACACTATACATTTCATTGGACTCTGTAGGTACCTGCACTTGTGATTGGCTCACCTGCAATCTATCTCTATTCATCATCTCATTCTATCATGCATATGTCCGTGGCTACTTATTTTACCTTATGAAATTTACCCAACTCTTGTGAGAAATACAGCGAATGTAATGAAGGAGTACAAGCACACAAGCCAGTGAAAACCCCTCATGCACTTATGTCCCTTCCACAGTCACAGCTCCACAGACAAGCACTATGCAAATTCTTTTAATTTTGCATGTGTATTCAAGTCTATGTATATTAATGTGTATTCAAGTGAACTTACTCCATTTGTGGTCATTATTGGCTTGTTGTGTTTCTTTTATACCAAGTAGTTCTTTATTTTTATGTGTGCATGCATTTGTAATATTAGAAGATTTTCACGCACTATTTACTGAATTTAAGAGACATTGATGCAGTATCACACTGTATTTCGGAAGTTGTTTGGCAAGAAATAAGACAGCTTCACTTGCAAATGCTTAATATGTTACATAAATGTTCTGCATGAAAGACTGGTGCCTTGTCATAAGATACAACTAATTTAACTAAAAAGGAAGCTATTAATGATAAATTATTATATTGAAATGGTGAATTTTTAACCAAAGATAGCTATCATCTTGAGAAGGGCAAATTTAGGAGAGAAAAATAACTTGTATATTTGGGAATGTGGCACTTTATCTATTTCCTTTTAAGTAATACATTTAAATTATTTCATGCTGCTTTATAATTAAAAAAAGTATGCTTATTCAAGTTCAGTTTTCTTTACTGCTAATTTAAGTAACAAATATTTCATTACTTTTCCAGCATCATCTGCACCACCTCAAACAACAGGACGTGCTAGGTCTGATCCTACTCATCAACACCCCTATAGTCAGCTACAGCATAGTTATACACAGACAGCATCTTATAGTATGCAGTTTGGTACTCATTTACCTGTTACAACAGGATCGTTATCAGCAATGGAATGTGAAAGTCCAATAACTAGTATTGCTGGTGCTGGCATATTTCGTTCCTCCCAAAAGGCCTGGAGTTCTTTAGGAGTGACAACAGCTTCTGCAGCTGTTACTTGTAATGTTGTAAGTGCAACAGGAACAATTACAGTTGGACAGCATACGCATTCTAGTGCCCCTACAAGTCGTGCAGGGTATTCTCATCTTCATAGCCATAATCATTCCTATCGAAGGCACCTTCATCATACAACACAGTCAAGTACTCCCAGTCAGCATTCATCACATGTCATAGGTGCAGTTGGTTTTAATCCCCTCCAGTCTTTCCAGCCACCATCAACATTTAGCAGTCGAAGCCAAGCCGGTTCTTCCTCGTCAGTTGTGTCTTCCCAACTAATGCCAATGGACATAAATGCAAGCAATAATCATTTTACTTCAATAGACTGTGCGCAGACTTCTCTAAATATGCAGCTTACAGGCTACCAACCTGTACTTTACACTGGAGCAGTGTATAGTGGGCAGACTACAGTTCCATCATATCTGGGTACTAACTTTTCACAGTTAGGTTTGCATCCATCAACTACACAGTCATCACAGCCTTCCAATATCATATTACCTGATGTGATGTCTCAAAAGCAGCCATCGGATAGAGATGAATCTCCTATGGTTGGTATATGCATAGAGCAAAGTCCAGTTGCAAGTCATTGACAAACATACATTTGTAGTTTATTATGTTAAATGGAATGTAACTGCCATTCTGCCATTTGCTGAAATTTTTTTGCAAGCCGAGTGAAATTAATCTTTTATATAGGAATTTGTAAATTGCTTCAAATTTACAGTGATAGAATGTACATTTTTTAAGAACATTTTCAGCAGAGAAATTAATATAAAAAGTGGCAGTAAGGCAGTTTTATTCCAGTTGTGGCTTAAAAATTGTAGGATATAGCATAGAAAGTTATTGGACCATTTTTGTACATAGTATGTTGCAGTAGAACTATTGACGGGAACATCATGTATACAGTCTTAAAATTCATTATACTGTATCTGTCATAGAACTGTCATGAAGTAGAGGCATAGGATGTGTTTGGTGATGATTTTCTTCATGCGCCAAAAAAGAAACTTTTATCATTTTGACAAATGTTTTGTGCATGTGTGTTTTACATGCACAATGCATACACATTATTTATATGTAATCATATAAAGCAAGCAGCAATCACTTAACTCTTCTCACGTTCAACCTCTACTCATTCATAAAAATTCCTTGAAAATTTAAAGTAACATTTATTAAGCCATAGGCATTTGGGATTTGATCAGCTTTTGCTATAAACCTGAGTTTTATTTAACTTACACAGTGTCATTAATCATTAGTCTCATTTTATGATGTCCATTTCTGGAAATTTCAAGGGGGTGATTGTTATGGTCTTGTCCCTCAAGAGAACTTTATGTGAAAGTTTAATGGCTTAGAATAAGGTCATACATCATGTTCCTAGATTGTTTTCCCTTTTTTTTACCACACAGAATTCTTATGCACTTTGTTCACCTTTATTTGGTGCAGTTATTTTCAATACTGCTGTTTTAAATATATTTCAAGTGAATAATTAAATCATTTCATCCTTTTTTTCCGTGTGTAAGTAGTACCTTTTTCTGCAGAGTTGTTAAATAAAACATAATCCTCGAAAAGGCACCTTTTTTTTTTATTTCCTCTGTTATTGAAATATAATTTGTCAAAATTATTGCAGTAAAACCTTATGCACATTATTTGCTATTGTGTGAACTTCTTGAATATGATAAAAAATTTTCTCGAGAGAAAATTTTCCTGTAAAGTACCATTTCCTGAACAGTTGTTAAATAAAAAACACAATCCTGAAAATGTGGCACTTTTTGCTTATTTCCTCTGTAGTTGAAACATAATTTATCAGAAATATTGTAGTAAAACAGGATATAGATTATTTGCTATTGTGTGAACTTCTTGAATGGGACAAAGAATTTTGAGAAAATTTTTGCATTAAGATTTTTTTTTTTTTTTTTTTTTTTGGTGTGTGTGTGTGTGTGTGTGTTTTTGGTAGTATCTACAGTTATGGGTGGAAAGATACAACCAACACTGTAATTTTACTGAAATTAACAAATTTAGCTTCTAACATGCCACATATTATGGTTTTTATAGCATTTAGCCATATTTACTTCTTCACATAAAGAATTAAGAAATTTTGTAAGATTATACATATGTTGCATTTGCATTATGCATTTCTATCATATTGCTGGCTAGTCCACTCTATAATATAGTTGAAATAAAATCTGTATCTCTACTTCTCTAGTTTTGTCTTTTCCATTATCATCATTTTCCATTCTAAACAAATATATGTATATAATGAAAGATGATAAAAATCTTAATTCATGTTCACAGTCTACATAGAAATTGATTTCAGTGTCCTCACTCTTCTTGAAATCTTTAATAAAACACAGTATGGAAGTAGTATTAAATCAGTCTTTAATTATTTAATGTAGATTTTTGGTTTAAATAATCTTTAATGCGAAATAGAGCTGATAAAACATGTGAATGAATATAAATAGGGAACACATTCAATTTATGTAAATCGCAAAATCATGAATATTTAAGAGAAATTATCTTTTAAGGATATTTCCCATAGAGTGTAAGTATACTAAACTATTTTGGATCAGCTATAAAAAATTATTCATTTAGCAAACTTGAAATAAATACATTAAAGTAATCGGTGAAAGATTTATGTGGGAAGTGTAATAGTGAAGTTTTTAAAAATTCATTTTATGGTTTAAATAATTCTTTAGAAAGAAATTCGATAGGAAACTGCATTCGCAAAATTATTCTCCAATTCTTTAAAAAGCTATCATTCTATTTCATTCTTCATAATGAATTTTTTGCATGCTTAGTACTAAAAAAGCATCAACAAGCTAGGATTTGAAATAGTGAGGCAAAACCATGGCCCTGATTACCCCCTTCTGAAGCCTATTAATGATTTAGCAAATAAAGCCACAAAATCCTTGGAAGCTGTCCTGGATATTCCTGGTGATTTAATGAACTAACTGCATGGGATTTTCATGACTCCCTGTGTATAATTTAGGGCAGTTTCTCATAGGGTATTCTTTATGAAGTCATTGCTCGTTTGTTAAGGCAGATACCCTTGTTTTCTATGTAACCCCTTGTGGTTTGTCGACTTAAGTGGAGCAGAGCCCACAAAAGTTTTGTTAACTGTTTTATTCCATTGAATAAGATCAAATAGCTCTTGAAACAGGTTTTCTACCTCACTAGTTGAAGTGCGGATGGGCCAACTTGCATATGAAGATGGCTTATAAGCAGTTTTGCTCATGAGCAGTAACAGCTCATGTTATAAAAAAAAATTGTAAATTCTTGGTAGTTTATTAAATTACCCTAATTGTTAAATCTAGGCTTTAAGCATTTGTTTAGAAAATGAAATTCTTGAACTTGAGAAAATTGTGAAATTGAGATTTGTCTGTTTATTTCTAATCTGCTAATGCTTTCAAATGTTTAGATACTAGATTTGTTAGATTTCCCATTTTACATTTTCATAAAGATACTTAATTCCCCCCTCCAAGTTAAGTGTGTTAGATTTTGTTTAATGTGAGTATTGTTTTGCTAATAAGTTTGTTTCTTAAAATTTTGCTAACATTTAAGCTTGGGAATTGGTTGAATTTTATTTATAGAACACTTGAGTGCGAACACTTTTTCATACACTAAGTGTAGCCTGAGAAATTCATTGTACAGTTTTTAGTCCTTAGGATGAAAGTGATGCTGAAACAGAGATCATTTGAAGTTTTTATGTGTAGGAGTTTGTGCCTAATTTAGTCTCTAAGTACCTGCCAGATTAGTTTAGTGAATCTTCAGAAAAAAATTTCTACAAATGAGGTAATAAGCAAAACAATGTAACATTATACATTTCATTGTTCACAAAAGAAATTATAAATGCAATATTTTTGGTACAAACTGCTCTTATTCCATTGATATGGCATCAGTCTTGGATTAAGCACACTTTCATGGATCTTCAAAACAGCTAATATACAGTTTTAACTATCATATTCATAATTTGTCTACCAAAATGAATAAAATTTTATTGCTGTTCAGTGTAGTCTGTACAATTAAAAATCTGTGTGCATCTGTTTGTCTGTCTGTCTGTAACATAGTGTCCTCCGAAACGGTAGGGAGTTAACATTCGAGAGAGGTATCCCCGTATTCCAGAAATTCGTGGGAAGCCATTTTAATCATTCTTATCTTCGTACAACTTTTAATCAGCCAAGATATTGATTAAAAACTGAAAAGGCTAATTTTTGCACTCATTTTTCCATGTGGCAACAGTCTCGCTGGAGATATAAAGATGAGGCTTGAAATAAAAAGACTTTATTTCGAAAAGTTTTTGCACCGCTCACTTTCAAATGATGGAGTTTATGAAGTAAAAATTTGTGCCGCCCAGATGGTATAGCCTGACTGCAATACCAAAGGGCCCGGGCTCGAATCTCGGAGAAGGCATGGATGTAAAATTGTCTTCCCTTCATAGGAGTAATGGTGGCTGCATATTAAATAAATAATAATAAAATGGTCACTGCTTCTGTCTTAGTAGTGACCAAATGCCATTGTAGAGTCCCATCATTTGTAAAAATTAAAAATTTGTAAGTTTTACAAAAGATCGCATTGCAAACGTTAACATATCATATAAGACGACAACAATAACACGCCAAATAAATATTCAGTCAAACAACAAAATCACGTTAATTTACAAAATTTTCACAGGACTAGTTTGAAAATGAATGTATTCTTTGCGTTTTGCAGCTGAAGATGATGGTTCGGTAAACCCGACTAGTCCTGTGAAAATTTTGTAATTAACGCTGATTTTTGTTGTTTGACTTCTGAATTAGTATATCATATAAGGTCATATATTGACATTGAAGAAAGCACGAGATTGCATGTGTTTGTTATCTTGCATATCGAAAATTTATTGTTAGTGTCAGCATTTTAAATAAATACTTGCTGTAGGCAAGTTTTTTGTTTTATGTTAGATAGTGACACAATATGTTATTGCTATGTAAAGTCTTTTATTGATATTGAGAAATTGTTATATTACCTTAAGTCATGACATCATGCATACAGTGGAACCTTGAGATTCGAATTTAATTCATTTCAGCATTGAGCTCGTTTAGCAAATTTCTCATATATAGAAACAAACTTCCCCATTGAAAATAATGGAAATCTAGTTAATTCATTTTGCACCCCCAAAATTATCAACATAAATATCAATTTTTGTAATAAATAACACTGGTAAATAATATAACTGTGTTTACCTTTATGATAGCTTCCAACACCGACCTTTTAACTGCTTCTCATTAATCCATACCAACAACAGCTTCTCAAAATCTAGGAGTTTTGGACGGTACTTGGAAGTAACAGTAACTGTTTGGCTACATCAAGTTTCTTAATTTCTTCCTGCTTCAGACCAGTGCAAATCGTTGATGTCGAAGGGCCATAAGTCTTCGCCAAGTATGGCAGGCTTGCCCACTAGTATGAATTTGTTATTTGAAAGTTTAAAAATTTAAGTTTATAAAGCCAACTGAATTTGAATTATAATTTCAACTTATAATTGAGTAGTAACAACATGCAGCTTTGTGTTTTGGGAACAAGTATGTGGAATTCATACATGCATTTTTTTGCATCACTGTGGCACTTGCACATATTAATATTATCATGTAGATCAATCTTGCAGTGTTCAGAATGCATTTAATTTCTTCCATGGGTTAATTTCCTGTCCCCTCCTGTTGGAGATCACCATATCCATTAGTTCCTTTTTGTGTGTGGTGTATACAGTTCTTATCTAGAAACAGCTGACTATTTGTATTCTGCAAATAATTTATTTTTCTTCTGTGTCTATATGTACAATTTGCACCGATAAAGTAGTTAGTTAGCACTGTATTTGTGTTATGTAATTCCAAGATATTTGTGTGGTTAAACAGTCTGTGAAAATTTATAGATTATTTTAGTATTCTGTAACGATTCGAAGCTGATAGATATCTATTTCCTAAAATTTTAAAATTATTGCAAGTTCTAAATTTGCTTTAGAAATGTTTAATCTGAAAGAAAAGGGGGTACTTTTATGCTGGCTTTGTCTTAGGTCTAACAAGTTCGAGTAAATGCTTTATCAGGTTCAATGTTTCTTCCGTTCAATGTTAACTCTAAGTTAACTTTAAAATAATAAACGTGGAAGATTGGCCTTATATTAACAGGAAGCCGTATGTAGTACAGAGAACTGTTAACACTACAATACGTTTAAAAATTATCACGAGGATTAAAACCTCTGGCCTGGAAGGCAACCAGCAACTGAGTAAAACTTCTAAGGTAAGCGGCCTGCTTCGACTAACTCCATCCTCTCTCTCGCTTGGCAAAAAGCCACAACTTAAGTACTTGGCGTTCGCCAGACAAATTTTGCATAAATAAGTTAACGCTTTTAATTCTGGCCGGAAGTAGAAAATAAGAAGTGATAGTAAAGATTTAAAATAAAATAAACGTTAGTAAAACTTAAGATCCTTACATACTTCCCGCCAGAGTTAATTAGTTTTAAACTGAGGTCTAAAACGACCTTGTTGAAAACTTTTAGCTCTAGAATCTAACGCGAGGCCTAATCTTTTACAAACATTTCTCACTAGAAACTTGAAATTAAAAAAAAAAAAAAAAAAAGAAATTTTTTTACAATAGCAGCTCCAAGGACACGCAATTTTTCATCTGTACTGCATCTAAACAGGAGCTTTTATTCAAATCTGGTTCCTTCCAGAGATCTGGAAGGAAAACTAGTTTAATGAAATGTTACACAATGAAATGGCAAGTAACATGCATATTTATATTTCTCTTAACATTCTTATTTCATTCATGACTATTTTAATTATCTCTCCCCGTGCTCTCTGACATGTGTTGTAAAAGAACACCAAACACGAATGTGTTTATGTATACGTGTTCAACACTTCCTCCTACAATCAAAACACTAACGTGTTAAAAATTCAACATACCAAGACCTCGTAACACACCCTAACTTCAACTCTAAACCCTGAGGTACTATTCTGAAAGTGGCTAACTCTGAAGTGTAGCGTCAGAGAGCCTAACTACATTCATTCAACCTTTAACACATATTCACCATGATTTGGTCTTTTTACAGTCACACGAATAAAAAAAAATTTAACATTACTTTCACTTTTACCATATCACGGTATTTCTTAACATTTAAAATAACAGTTCACATTGTATATAAGAACATATTAACATGCCGTTAATTTT